ATGTGGCAGGAGTAAATTTTATATTTGTTTGGCCTCGTGACTGATAGATAGACTGGGAAGTTTAGGGGAACTGGAGAGGAGATGGCTGTTTTAACAGAAAAAAACATTTACTGGACTGTCCCTTCTGCCTTCTTCGGGTGTGTCCCACTTCTGGGCATCTCTTCAGGATTTCATTCCTCCGTCCAACTGCCATTTACAACTGCCCTTTCCAACTGCTCCAGAACTCTTGGCCCTGCATTCCGTGATGTAAATTATTCCACGCATGGCTCGAAATGGGTGTGAAGCAGTGTTGCCAGGTGTTGGATCACTAGTGTAAGTTTACTGGATCTCGGGGGAGAACTGCTCTTGGAATTTGTACAGTTGTTCTTGTTTCAGCCAAAGCACAGTCATTGCGCTGGCTAAGCCTGATGCTGCCGCTGGCTGGAGAGAGAGGGAGCTCAGGGCCCAGAGCTGGGGTGAACTTTCAGTTGAGATTTTCTTTTTTTTTTTTTTTTTTCCTTTTTGTCTTTTNGGGAGCGCCGCCGCACTCCCAAGCGGCGCACTGTAGCAGTGCGCCACCGGGCCGGCCCCTCGGTTGAGATTTTCTAATTGAATGATTTTAGTGTTCGGCTATAGATCGTTTGGAATTGAACAGTGGTGGTGCTGCTGCAGAGAGAAGAACCCAGGCCTGCGGGCCCAGGCCTGCAGCAACGCTACCTGGGGCTAGTGTGCCCCCCTCTGCTGCCTCAAAATGCAGGGAGAACCTGCTTTTCTTTCTTCCTGAAGATAGTCAAAATATGACAGCAATTCTAGATTGCTCACCAGGTTTAGAAACATGCAGTCAATTAAAAGTTAAAAACTAAAAGACCTCTGTATTTATGAGATCTTTTCTAAAACAAAAATGTTATCTCTTCCCTTGTTCATTCTACATTTTGAGGAAGTTACTTTTCATGGTTTACAGCCCCTTTGGGGAATCTGCAGGTAAGGGACGTTGCTGCCAACTCTCTCTGATTTGTCTAAAGTCTTGACTTGTAAGTTAAGTATTTATTTTCAGTAAAAACAATTTAAATGTAATACCTTATTGAATAACCACAAAATGTTTAAAAATCACATTAATAATAAGCAATTAGAGAAAAAACTCACATTTTATCCAGGAAAGTATAAGGTATATTTTTACGTTGCATTGATGTGACTGGCTTTATCCTGCTGTGCTGAAACATGCTTTCCTCTTCCTTTTCTTTGTAGTTGTCATGGATGATGATGATGACTCGTGTCTCCTTGATCTTATTGGGTAAGATGCTCATTCTCAAACCACAGTAAATCAAACATGTGAGGTCTCCTGAACCAAAGCAACCTAATAAGCATTTTAAAGCCTGGTGGGTTTTTTTTTTTTTTTTGTCTTTTTCCGTGTCCGGCAACGGATCACAACCCTCAGTGTTGCCCCCGTACCGGACCGGGGACCGGCAACAGGATTGCAACCCTTGGTGTTGCTCCCACGCCTCGCTCAGCCAGTGAGCAGGAACCGGTCTGTATGTGGGATCCGAACCCTCGGGCGGGAGCGCCGCCGCGCTTCCCAAGCGGCGCACTTATCCAGTGCGCCACCGGGCCGGCCCAAGCCTGGTGGGTTTTTAAAATAAAATTTGAATGATCATCATAGATATGGTAGAGAGACAAAGAGACATGGATTAACACAGGGGTCATAATTCAGTAATCCTTTACTTATTTTCTAACAAATCCCAGGAGGCAAAAATGAGTGATAATAGGAAGAGGACCAACATCAAAACAAAAAAGTACTAATAAAATTGTTTTAAAATAGGGAAAGGATTTTACTTAGGCTAATATATCATTTTCTTTTAACGCTAGTGAAAATGAATCCTAAATATAGGTAATGTATTTATTTATTATTTTTCCGTCTCTCTTTTTTTTTTTTTTTCTTTTTTCCTATCTAGAGACCCACAAGCATTGAACTATTTTCTACATGGACCTAGTAATAAATCTGTAAGTAATACTTAGAATGTCACAGACATAAATTTTGTTTTTTCTTTACAGTTAAAATAACCACTTTATTGAATTTATACCTTTGCAGAGCAATGATGACTTGACTAATGCAGGATATTCTGCAGCCAATTCAAATTCAATTTTCGCCAACTCTAGTGTGAGTATTGGAATGTAATGATCCAGTGTTTCTGTCTCATTGATGCCTTGCGAACTAAGGCTTTAATTGCCTTTGTATCATGATAAGAACCTTACCTTATCTTTTGTAATTTACATTGGAAGAAAATCTATTGAATTATGTTGACATCTCCTACTTTTAACTTAGTCAATTAAGACAAGCTATATGAAATTTACTTTGCCATTTTTCTAAGCTTTCAGCTTTCTTTCTAAAATGACTCAGAA